CAGTGCATTCACAACATTTGGTGGTCATATGGAACATAAGTACCATTTATTGTAAAGCTATTTACATTAGAAATATTAGCCGGCAAACAACTTGTTTTGTTTCGATTGTTCGTTAATTCGTTTTTCCGAGATTCAGGTCCGAAAGTCAGTTCATATCAGGATTCCGACGAATCCAAAATTTTCGTTAATTTCGGATGAGTTAAATGGTATTTACGAATGAATTTTCATTGCAGCAAAGTGACATTAGATAAAAAAAAGTGACATTTTAATTTTTCTTTTTTTTTAGGGGGGATCCCGAAGCCAAAAAAGACATAGGGATCCACCTAAAACCCCTTACCAGACCCTTAATCCAAACAGCAGCCTGGCACAGCAGCAAAGGGGGAGGATGAGAGTTTGCTCCCCCCCCTCGCACCATACCAGACCACATGCCCTCAACATGTGGGGGTCTGCGGGCAAGGGAGCGTATAGGAATCTGGGTGCCCTGTTTCATAAAGGGGGCATCCAGATCTCCCCCCCGTGAATGAGTAAGGGGTAGTTTTACCCCTACTCATTCACCAAATAAACAGTAAAATTGTAAATAAACACACAACACTAGGGATGCACCCATACAGGTATTTTGGTTTGATTAGCCAGGATCAGTGTAAAGACTCACCACCTGGCTTCCCGATTCACAAAAAAAGTCTGTCCCCTCTTACCTTGTTATGTCAAGCCTGTCACCCCCAGGGCCTCTCCAGCCAGAACGCGGCCTTCCTCCGGTACCCAGCCGGAGCCGTCCGGCCGGCCAATCAGGAAGTTGGGCGCCGTGTAATGACGCGACGCCCTCCTTTCTGCTTGGCCGGTAGGCTGGCTCCATCTCATGACGAGGGAGGATGAAGCCAGCTTCCCAGCCAATCAGAATCCCGGGCACTGCGTCATTACACGGCGCTCAGCTTCCGGATTGGCCAGCTTCCCGACCAATCAGGAAGCCGGGCAGCGCATAATTACACGCTGCCCAGCTTCCTTATACAGGAAGTATCGGGCTAGGCATTGGAGCATTTGGGCGAGTACGAGTACTCGCCCAAATACTCGGTATCGGTGCATCCCTACACAACACAGTCAAAAAAGTGCTTTATTTGAGAAAAAAAAAAGACACAACACAGGTCTTTTAATTTAAAAAAATGTCCATCGATGTAATCCAAAGGTCAATCACGTCATCCAGCAATGTAGATCCATGTCAATCACGATGGCCGAAGGCCGCCGACTCGGCGAAAGAAAAAATACCCGACGCCCGCTGCTGTGTAACCTAACTAGCTGTCAAAAGCTGGATGCAGCGCTGCCTGTAATTAACAGGCAGCGCTCCATCCATGGCAGGTTACACGGCGGGGAGGCTTTCCCTGCTGTGTAACCTGTAACAAGCCGCTCTGAATGGAGAGAAAGCTGTCAGCTTTAGACTTGAAGCTGACCCCTTTTTTCTTCATAATACCAGTTGAGGCTCTGCCTCACCTGCCTCCCCTGAACACACGTCCCTGGTATCCAAATTCTAATTATACCTCCCTGGTATCTATATTCTAAATTGTAAAGTAAATGGCATTTGTGTTGTCTGTGTAAAACACAAAATAATGACATATGGAAAATATTCACTAAATGACGGTGAGTGGTGCATACTCCACTTCATACAGACAAGGGAGGGGGATTTGGAAGTTTGGATTTAGATTTTGAAGATCTGAGATTGGCAGCTGCGATGAAGCCCAAGAGAACTCATGAAGCAGGCCAATTTATCATCTTAGAAGTGTGAAAATGTTTAGGCTCACATAAGGTCATATGCATTAATAAAATGTGGATAACGTTGTATGCAAGAATAATTGTAACTAAATCAAGTTGTAATAATGTTTGTTTGACTTAGGCAGATTTTAAAGGTGGCCACACACATTAAAAATGGATTCTAAAATCTACATTCGATTTACCAACACCTAGCTAGTATAAGGATCTAACATATAATTGAAGGCATTGTTTAGGTAGGCCCACACACCACATGTTAAATATAAAGGATATTGCACAGAGATTGTACAATCAGACTGCACCATGTATGGCCAGTATAACACTGGGCATGCACCTCACAATCACTTTTAAGCACTTTTCCTTTTTGATTGTAAGACATTTTTATTTTTGTACTTTTACACTAATAATTAGTAGATTGTGCATTGAGGTTGCAATGTGTGTGGTCAGTTTAACACACTGGTGCAAATTGACTGTATTATTATCTTAAGTCATTAAGTAACTCTGAACAGCATGTGACAGGGAAGAGAGACTCACTGTATGTAATAGAGAGTTTTGGGGCATTGTGACTAATAGAGAGTTATAAAGCACAGTGTGAATTACAGAGATGAGAGTAAAGAAGTAGTCACCAGCACGCCATCGAATAGAACGCCTTTATTTAGATGTTACACATGCATGGTGGCCCTAGTGGATAGCAACGTTTCTGAGCCATAAAAGGTCCCTTTATCATGCATAGTCTATAATAGGGAATATACAGGCATACGGGTTATACAGAGGTATCAGGTACTGTGTGCAACACAGACATAGAGGGCACTGCATGACAAACATAGGTATCAGGCGCTGTGTGAAAGAAAGATATGAGGTACTGTATGACAAACAGAGGTGGGAAACACTGTGTATAATACAGAAATAAGAGGCACTGCATGATAGACAGAGGTATGAGGCACTGTGTGTAATAAAAGCACTATTGCAATAGAAAAGCAAGAAAATGTACGTGATACAGATATGCAAGACTAGATGTAAGAAAAAAGTATGAAGCACTGTGAGAGGCAAGAGAGATGGCAAGAGAGATGGCATGCGACACTGTGTGTAATACGGAGTTATGTGGCACCCCACGTGTAAGTCAGAGGTAAAGAGCACTTTGTATAATAAAAAGGTATTATGCACTGTGTGTAATACACTTGCATAAGGCACAATAAAACAGTTGTGATATATGGAGGCACTGTGTGTAAATAAGGGGTATGAAGCACCATGTAAAATAGACAGGTATTAAGCATTGTGGATAATGCAGATATATGGGTCACTACATGTTAAAACGTTATCAGGAAACTCTGTGTGTTGAATACAGAGATCTGAAGCACTGTGTGTAGCAGAGACATGGGGCTCTGCTTTTAATATGGCATACGAGGGATTTGTTTTGTTGGATTTGGTATGGGGACACACCATTCTGGTGTGTCCCTGTGCCTTTAAGGAGGATCGGGCTAGCTCCTGGCAAAACTGCACCCAATTCATCCTTTGCTATACAGTATATGTTCCAAGATGGAGGCTTTCATACTTAGAGTTAGGACCACATTACACAGAGGGGCCTTGCAGATCTGCCTGGTATTGTGGGATACTAAGATGTGAGCTGTGTTTTCTGGAGTGCCGATCTCACTTGTGACACGGATTTTGGGGTTTGAGCTATGTGCAGGGGGAGGACGACAGGGCCTCGCCCTCAAGGCACATCACTTTGGTAGTGTGGATACTATGGAGTGAGCTGTGTTTGCTAAGGGAAAAACTCACTAGTGACATTCATATAGGATAGTGAGCTGTGTATGCAGTTTTTCCTTCAGCATTTCATTATATGTACAGGATATTAGTGAGTCTTGGCAATATAAGTACTACGGAAATAAAAATGCACTGTTGGAGACAGTATCACCATCTCTTAGCCTGCTGTCCTAGGCACTGCGCCAGATATGTATTATGGCACTTACAGCGCCTTCAGTGTTTGTAGTCTGTGTACTGTTCCGAGGTGTATTATGAATGTCCTTAAATATCCCTTTGCTGTGGTTTGTATCTAAGCTTCCACTTAGATGTCTATTTTTTTTTTTATCAGTACACAGTATTTTTCAGTTCTGATAAAGAAAATCTCAAGGGTACACTGGGCTGAAAACTGTACATGAGATTTTTATGAGCTGTTGCATGCTGCTACTTTCCATTCTTAGTACTATATATAATATAGAGCAGGGGTCAGTAACAGATTGATCATGATCTACCTGTTCATTATGGCCATGTGATGTAAATTGCGATCCCGCTCACCTCAGACCTGGTGAGTGAATTTTACAGAGGAAGGGGGTAATTTGTTCTGTGAGTAATTTTAGCTTGGAAGGGTAGATGTTTGTACTGAGAGGGGGTATTTTTGCTTGGTGTGTGTGTGTGTGTGTGTTAGCTAAGTTATTCCTGACTTCTGTGTTGTATCTTATATACTACTAACCTCTTCACTGCGTGTTACATACTACTGACCTCTGAGCTCTGTGTTACTTATTCTTGACCTCTAAACTCTGCATTATATACCATTAACTCCTGCACTCTGTGTTACGCCTGAACCTTGCACTCTTTGTTACTTACTACTAACCTCTGAACTCTCCATTACATTTTCCTGACCCATGCACTCTGTTACTACTGACCTCTGAATTACATTTTCTTGACCCCTGTTCTTTGTTATGTACTCTGAACCCTGTGTTTCTGACTCGTGGCTTCTGCACTCTGTGTTACTTAATCCCGACACCATGCTCTGCATTACATACTACTGACCTTTGCACTCTGTGTTACATACTACTTACCTCTGAACTCTGTGCTACATACTATTGACCTGTAAACTTTGAGTTACCTACTACTGACCCCTAAACTCTGCGTTACTTACCACTGACCCCTAAACTCTAAAATGTATTTATTTTAAACAGGGCCTTGCTAGTGGTATCTCCTTAAAAAATGCCCTGCGCCCTTATGAACTTTGATCTCTTCCATGTTATTCAGGTAGATCTCCTTAGTGAAATCTTATATTTTACCTTTCAGGCTACAAGAGTTTTTTTGTTTTGTTTTACCAAGAATGAATTTTAATGCTTTTCACAACTGTAAAATCCTATCTTCTATTAGGATTTCACATTCATTTTTTTTTCTCATTTGCTAAGAAGTGACACACTGCACTTGGCTCGGGATACTGAACATCTGGAAACCAAATGTTCCACTGGATAAAAAGAGCAAGATCATGAAGTAAGTCCCACAGTCTGCGCCAGCAGCAAAGACAATATGATGCTGATACTGCTTGGTGTGCTGCTGCAGCTGGTGGTGGCAACGTGGGCACAACATGATTATTATTACTCACACCATGACTACTCCGATGATCAATGGGTTAATCTTTTCAGGCAAGGATTCAATTTCCAGTGCCCACACGGACAGGTAGTAGTTGCAATAAGGAGCACATTTAGCAAAAAAGAAGGATCTGATAGACAATGGAACTATGGATGTATGCCAACACCTTTTGAGTTTGGGGAACCTACAGAATGCTGGTGGGAAGAAATCAACAGAGCTGGAATGGAATGGTAAGTGATTATAGAAACAGAGCTCTAAATTACTTTGACAAAGTAAGAGGTTCTTGGCTTTGAAAAGTTTTACTCTAAAATATTCTGCTGTACTGTTTGAAAGTGATAATCTCATTGTGGTCATGCTTGAGCAATGATCTGGGTTACATGACTGCATTAGTTAATATTATAACAGGATAAAAAAAGAAATACATGGTGTTTCAGCTGGTTTATCGCCAGTTAAGGTTTTTTTTTTTTAGGCAAACACGGGAGTAGATTGTAGAAAAAGTACAGTTTATGTGTAGTAGTGGTTAAATACTTTTAGGGGCCCAAACACGTAAGCACCAGCACGGAATGCATCAGTGCACATTCCTAAAATACGCCAATTAAGACTGAGCATCCAGTGCACTGGAAGCCAACATATGGATTGATGCTCATGGATGTTTCAGAACAATGGGCTTGTCTTTGACATATTGCAATAAAATTAAGTTGGACTGCATGAAGAGTCCACCTTGACATTGTAGTCTCCATCCAATTAGCTGCTTAGACAGCCAGACACATCTGTAATATTAAAACTGTCTGCATATTAGCTTCCAGTACACATATGCAGCCCATAGACATTAGCTTCCAATATTCCAATACTGATTAAATGGGCATCTGCACCTCGCATGAATATAAACAGTCATAGAAAGTGCAAATTATTAGTATTTGAGGGAGTCTTATGAATGTCTAACCAAATATCGATAGCCAGGACACTTTTTCTAAGTACCTAGAAATTTAAAATTTTTTGTTAAAGAATAGTTGTATTTCATTAAAATTAATTCACAGATTTAATGTAAACCTGTGATGAAGCTAAAACAATGGGTTTTGTCTTACCTTTTGGTTGCTGTGCCACATGCATGTTAATACGGTCTCTTTCCTGAAATATGGGCTCAAAATGAATATGCTAATGTGATATAATATAAAGGGACTAGTTGCAAATTAAATGTCAACAATCGCTTTTGCATATGCAGCTCCTTCTTGTATGAGATTACATAGCACCAAGCCATCAGTCCATAGATATAACAGAGTGGCGACAACACAATAAAATGTATGTCTAAAAAAACATGAATATCATTTTAAAAATATGAAGACCAGTGCTTAAGATTAAGTACTTAATTTACTATTGCTCCATGTTTAAAAATTGGAAACTAGTTTGCTTTGATGGACAATGCTTTTGTTCAAATTGTAAAAAATTCCACATCTCAAAAACTCAATTTATTAGGAATGATGTAAATGTCAACTGATGTAATGTCAGCCGTCCAAAAGAGTGCCAACGGCGGCACCTACTCCGCAAATTTCAGACGGTTCCTCAAAAACTGGCCAAAATCCGCAGTCTATGGGCACCCTAAGGATGTACTTAGAGAAGCAATGTGCTAAAAGGTTTACTGACAGTTTAGGGGAAAAAATTAAGGGAATTGTATTTTTTTAAAACTATTTTTGGATTTAGTATTTTTTTGGATGAGGTGTTTTCGAATTATAAGGTTGTGCCATTGCAATAGTACAATAATTTATTAAATATATAATGATGATTAATGCCAATGCCACATTGCTTTTTGCCTTTGGCAGCCAACATTAGGGTCATGATTTATGCATATGGTTTGGTATTCAGATACCCCCTGAAAATTACACAGCAGATTATAGATAGAGCAGAAGATCAAAGGGCAATAAATCTATGTTGCTAAGATAGATAAGCAAATGATTCTTAGGCCGCATTCACACATGAGCCTTTTTTGTTTGTTTTTGCACGTTTTTAAGGAGTATTCAGGTTTGAGTGTTTTTTTTTTTTTTAACTAATGGAAAGGTATTTGCTAGGAGCAGGAGATGCTTACGCTTGAAAAAAGGGCGTTTTCAAGTGCTTACATTGAAGTCAATGGGGTCGAAAATGCCATTCTGCTTAAAAAAAGTAGTTCATGTACCTTTTTGAGCTTCAGCCATTGAGTGAAAGATGCCTGAGCACTTATATGTGAACAGGCACAATTTAAAAGCATAGGGTTTTGGTTATTGGGAGTATTGGAGCTTTGATCTTCAAGTTACAAAACGCTCAGGTGTGAAGCAGGGCTTATTGCCCATTGGGGAATCTGTGACTGGCAAAGATCCTGAGGTCTGACGTTTGTCTTTCTATACTAGAAGCTTACCGGAATCCTTTTCTTTACAGCCTCCCTCCTATCCTAGGTCCCCCAAAGCAGCCGAGTGGTCTGCTATGGTTTTGTTACACCACTTTATGTAGATGAAACTATGCCTCTTGTGAAACATAATAATGCCAGGGAAAGCTAAGCGCATGTTCCTGTGACACATCGGACCTAACATTTGTGTACACTGTGCTGCTGTACAAGGGCCTTCTGGGCCTATTTTCACTAAAGGGTGGTTGGGCTTGTGTAGGAACCCCTTCCTGTTGTCACATATAGCTGGATACTGCTCAGCTGCACATGTAAGAGGCAGAGGACATTTTGAATGATTCTATCTATACACACTGAATAAGTATTTGCAGTTGGGCAGTAGTTACTTGGGGAGGGGGGGGATCAAAAACTGTTCTTGCACAGGAGCACTTTAGTAACAATATCTGCCAATGCATTGAAAACTTCACTGTATAAAAAGGACATGTCTGGGACCAGATGGCTTTTAGGAAAATGTCTTGCTTCAATGTCATCAGATTAGAGTACATGAGGACTTTACTAGTGGGATTAATTCTACTCGATCTAGCTACTATGTACTTATATTGATGTCCATCATGTTGATAAGTTTTATTAGACTTTGTAATGCTTTTTTTTTGCTAATAGTTTTGGAGTAATTACAGACATTTTAATAACTAGCAATATAGAGAGAAAATGCTATTAAAAATGCTTCATTTTCAGGTGTGTGAATGTCATCTTTATGTAATCCTCACAGGGCTTCAATACACTTGTTTTCCTTTCCTGTCACGTGAATAATACAGTAGATGCATGTGAAGCTTTGCTATTTCGGTTTGCATTTCTAAATCTCTTTTAGGCACACCAATTTACTAATATAAGTTATACATTATAGTATGGATTGCATTAAGCCATGTAAACTATTAAACTGTTTAATTGTCCACTGTTCTTAGCTGCTTATACTCCGTATTTATAGAAAATGATTATCTGCGGCTATTATGGGTTGATACTGTTACATAGTGCTTCTGACTAGCTGCTTTGTATTCTAGGCTAGTAGGGAGTAGAAAAAGGAGATTAAAAGGTTGTGATGAGATCTACAATCACTCAGATGAGAACGAGCATTGTCAGGCATATCAGATATGCAATTTTCTACGCTGCAGGCTGCACTATCAGTCTTAAAGTGTAAACTCTAATAATGAACTTCCATTATTTGCTTCCTCATGGTCTGTTAAATATGAAGTTTAACCTGCTTATATTTTTCCTTCCCTGGTTCCTCC